GTATCGGGAAATGAAATATTGCGATATTTCAGTGTATCAATATTTTCTTACACACCTACAAACTACTCTATCATACCTGCTGGTTAGTGGACACAACGACACACAACAGAACTCACGTTTTATACCAGTAGATCACAGATGCTTTAACTTTTGTGACTTTTTCACGGACTAGTACTAGGAGGTAACGCTAAAAACAAAGACAGTAACCAGGAAGTGGAAGGGAGGAGCGTGGCAAGAATTTTACCAGAAATACGTCATTAATGACCGTGGCATGTAGGCTATTCTGACTAATAATAAGACCAAGACGGAACATTTGTTTTATTTGATTTTACACTTTAGTACTTGTGTACCTGCAAGACGTTCACTGAAATATTTATGCATTTAAAATGTTCTTCAGCCTGACTAGTTTTTGGTCAGCTTGTTTAACATGTTATTCATGCAAAACTGTGTATGTTTGCAGGGTCTTTAACATACTGGTTTTAAAAAATGTTCTGGTTTTAATCAAGTTCAAGATGGAGTGCATTTTCATCCCAATAAAATTTGGTCATACATGTATTCTTATTAAAAACTCTAATACAACTATGGCTGAGTGGGTATAGCAGTCATCTTTCACTAACCGTGTTTCCATCAAGGCTTTTTGATGCACATTTAGAAGTGTCGTATTAAAAATGCGAAAAAAAGTCAGATGGAAACAGCAAAATTCGAACAAAAAATCTTCAATTCACTAAAAAGTTTTTATGCTCGGTTTTTGAGGTGGTTTTTGGATGATTCGCAAAGTAGTTAATGCGCAAAATGGAAGATGGAAACATGTTTGCCGAATAAATTCTGATGTAGCGCATATTTACCTCACGTTCAGCTGTTTCCGCTTTCCTGCCTCATCCCGGATTTTATCATAAACGCACAAAAACATGGCTGAAACAACAACAACAGCATAGTTTAACATTGTGTTTATTTCCCTACGTCTCCTGGCAGCGTTAAACATAGCCTGTACTAGCTGAATAGATATAATAATTACAACTTGCCCAATAGCAAGGCATTCACGAAAAAATCGCTCCATTGTCCCGAGATGATTAGCCTCTGCTAGTTAGAAAGTTTCACTTCCTGTTTACTACCGCAAAGCTTGTCGCCGACATCTGATGTAATGACGCGTTGCGTAGTCTCGTCTGACGTAATGACGCATTGCGTAGCCTCTTCTGACGTAATCACGCGTTGCTTAGCCTCGTCCGACGTAATCACGTGTTGCGTAGCCTCGTCTGACGTAATCACGCATTGCGCAGCCTCGTCCGACGTAATCACGCGTTGCGCAGCCTCGTCTGATGTAATCGCGCGTTGCGTAGCCTCATCTGATGTAATCACGCATTGCGTAGTCTCATCTGACATAATCACACTTTGTGAAGCCTCATCTGATGTAATCACGCATTGCGTAGCCTCGTCTGATGTAATCACGCGTTGTGTAGCCTCGTTTATTCACATCAAACAGTCGAGAAGGAAACTAGATGGAAACAATCTAGGTTAGAATTTTTGTTTATTTAATTTTTTGCGAATTTTGAAAAGTTCGATAAAAATTCACTCTACAACTGGATGGAAACAAGTTTAATAAGAGAGTTGGGGGGTCGATTCCACCAATAGCCTTGTTTCCGTCAATATTTTTTCTGCGCATTTTTAAGTATTGCATTAGAAATGGTGAATGGAAACAGCATGATTTGAAAAAACTTCCTCTAATTTGCAAAAACGTTCATACGCTCACTTGAGATGGAGGTTGAAGTTCTGACGTAGCAAACATTTACCTCACATGTTGATCAGCTGACTGGCAGCAGGACCCTCCTCCCGCTGTCGGCATCTTCTCAGTTATTCCTGTAACGTGAAGAGAATTGCATTTCTTTCTCTACGTCTCCAGACAGCAGTAACATCACCAGAACTAGTTGATGACAGAATAATTACAACTTTCTGACAGCAGCAACACTTTCCTGATAACTTCTCTCCATTGTCCTGAGATGTGTGGACMCTGCCAGTTTGTGACTTCCTGTTTACTACACACATGTGTCTGACATAATTGATTCACTTCAAGCCAGTTGATGGAAACACGTCTGATTCGCATTTCTGCGTTTTTTCCTTTTTGCAAAATTGTAAACATTTGCTTAAAATTTGAATTAAAATGGGATTTTAACACGGTCATTTTTCAGTCACATACATGGAAATGTCCCTGAACAATGCACTGAACCCTTCATTGGCTCTGATGTGTGTTCCATCAATGTGTGAATGTGATTTAAAAGCACTTATTAGTTTCTATAGAATGAATTATCTACAGTAAATTAGTATTGTAAAGCTCTATAAGAGTACTCAGGGTTCCTGCAGATCCATAAAGTCTTAAAAGGCATTGAATTCATCAATCCAAAAATAAGGCCTTAATTAGCCTTAAAATGTCTTAAATCAATCTTTCAGAAGCCTTAAAAATGTGAACACATTGTAAATAGGATTGTAATTCATCTCAAATATTAAAATAATTAGTAATATTTTTTTCATATTTACATGCTGACCTTTGACATCATTTCCTGTTACTTAGGTGCAAATATCTCAACAACTGTCCATCTGAGCAATGTGAATTTTGTTTTGTAAAATGTTAATAATGTTGTCATTTCTTAAATGCAGTAACTTATTACAAAATTTGATGCCACATTTACTTAAGGTTTCATAAAACTCCAAATTTTGGGTCATTAAACTGACTGCTGAGAATGTTCTTGCTATATTTGATGAAAAAGCRATTAGAGTTGGATAAAAACAATTGGTCTGTTATCAATATTTGAATACTTCAACCAAAAATACTTTGATTCATGACTTTCTGCAACAGTTTTATTTATTATTTTTGTCATTTTTGTGTTTATTATGAAATTAGTCTTAAATTTAATTTCAGTTGGCATTAAAAAGTCTTAAACTGAACTTGTTTTAAACTGCAGGAACCCTGGTACTGAATGAATGTGAGTGTGAAGAGGTCAATGAGGGCACAGACTGTGTTGTAAAGACCTTTGAGTATCTTGCTGGATAGAAGGGAATTATATAAGTACAGTCCATTAATGTTTGACACTGACATGATGTCCTGTGATTCTCTTATAGGTTTACCTCGCTGCTCAGCTGCAGCGCATGGAGCTGGAAAACCCCAACTACGCTCTTACAAGTATGTCCCTTCATATTATCAGCATCTACTCTTTGTGTGTTCAATGTGTGAGCCCTCAGCAGACAAACTGCTCTGTTAGCCTGTCTGAGGTTTGTATTCACTGTGCATCTGTCAGTTCTCAGTGTTACTGTGGAGTTTTGTTGGATCCTTTAGTGATTTTAACTGTTCTGCCAACTGCCTGAACACCACAGCCAGCTGAAACAAAGCTCTGTTTGTCCCTGAGATATATGCACACACACACACACACAGAGAGAGAGACCTACTCCCGAAACACCCTGGCCTCTTTTTGTTTTTCACTTTCAGTCTGCCTAAATGTTCAGGCTAACTAGTTCAGCTCACACACTTATTCTTTTACAGTTTACCAGTCTGGGTGCTGCACAAACATGGATCACCACAAAGCTAAACGTTCTGTTTGTCTAAAGAGATACAAGACTACCGTATTTATTCAAGTATAATACGTAAAATTTAATCCATAAAATCATCCATAAATTTGGGGGGTAGTATTATAC